TTTTTTTAATCTACTTATGCTCCTCAGGTTGTCAATTAGAAGAGAAAGTGCCAGAGCTTTCACCTTTGAAAATGAAAGACATTCCCATACTTGGCACACGTGATCTAGAAGCAACTTATGGATTAGTTTGTAACATGATAGAAAAAACCAAGTCCTCAAGAGGCTAGGACTCATATTCAACTCCTTTGAGGAACTTGAAGGTCCTGCACTGGCCATGCTCCAACAAGACTTTAACATTCCCCTTTTGCAATTGGCCCGTTTCACAAGCAGGCTCCATCTTTATCAAGTGGCTTGTTAACGCAAGAACGAGACTGCATTTCCTGGTTGAATGCTCATGCACCCAAGTCAGTGCTATATATTAGCTTTGGAAGCATATCTGCAGTTAGTGAGGCAGATTTTCTGGAGATTGCCTGGGGCTTAGCAAATAGCAAGCAACCATTCTTATGGGCTATTCGGTCTGGGTTGGTCCGTGGCTTAGATGGGCCTGCTCCACTACCATCTGGGTTCTTGGAGAAAATTGCAAAGCAAGGCCGGATTGTTACATGGGCCCCACAAGACGAGGTTTTGGCCCATCCTGCAGTTGGAGGATTTTGACTAACAGCGGCTGGAACTCGACCTTGGAGAGTATTTGTGAAGGTGTACCAATGCTTTGTCTTCCTTGCTTTGGTGATCAGATGGTTAATGCTAGACATGTAACTGATGTGTGGAAGGTGGGTTTGCGATTTGAGAATGGACTAAACAGAGATGATATAGAGTACTCTATCAGAAGAGTACTGGTCGAAAACGAAGGCAAGGAGATGAGTCAGAGTTTGGCATGTTTGAAAGAGAAGGCAAGTCTTTGTCTAGCAGCTGGTGGATCCTCTCACAAGTCCTTGGAAACCTGGTTTCACATATCTTATCATTTTGATTATTTTACTTCATGATAGATGTGTACCCCTTTGGACCCTCTCCCTGACATTAATTAAGTGTAAGTGACTTTTCAATGTGATCAAATGTTGTTTTCTATGTACCCAATTATCTGCACTGCAATGGTATTTAATTGTATGCCTTTCTCAAATAATGACTAGCTCCTCTCCTTTATCTGCAGTTTTCTGATGATAAAATTGGCTGTCTCAGTCTGTGTAAAGCAATTACGCAGCTTATACATTGCAAAATTCACATCTATATCTAATTTACAGTGTACCATCAATTTTATATGCAAACTATAGATTTCTCAACATGTGTTAATAATCTTAATATCACTCCTTTCAGTGTTCTAATAAAATTCTGGTCCACCTTCAGAAACAGGGAAGTTGTGGTCCAGGACTCCAGGGATACTGATGTCTGATGCAAGCTTTTCTTAAATAAGAGGGCGGTAATGCTGTCCAGTATCCCTCAACCTAGAATCTAGCTAGGCTGCCTGTAGTGCAATAACAGATGGATCAACGAAGATTGGTGTTTTTTCCTTTGCCATTGCAAGGCCACCAGACTCCAATGCTTCAACTCGCAAGCATCCTGTATTCTAAAGGATTCCCTATATCTATCATCCTAATCCTGCTAAGTACCCCGATTTTACCTTCCACTGCATCCCTGATAACTTGTCAGAAAGTGAAGCTTCTACTGAAGATCTTACACTGCTTCTGCATAACCTTAATACGAACTGTGTGGCGACTTTCGAGGCTATTCTATCACAACTAATGTCAAAATTTGATGTTGCTTGCTTAATAGAGAAAAGGGTTACCTATCTGCCCAAGGTGCGTTCTAAAGCTTGTATTTTTAGCTGTCTTTTTTACCTTGCCTAATGCTATCTTCTGTTAAGCATTTGAAGCCTACCTAGAAGCTTCCATAGGGATAAGATTTGAGAAGAACCTGAATGAGAGATGATAAGAGTTTCTAAGAGCTTGCACATTGTTGCGGCCTCAACCTTCGCGGCACCAGTCTTTGTTCTTTTTCTTTCCTTCCCCCTCATTTTACACTTACGTTGTCCCCGTTGATTAACAATGGAAGGTCACCACACTTTATCTCGTGCTTTATACTTGTACCTTACCATATATTCTCCTACCCAATTATTCTGTATTACATCTATATTCCTTAAAATCAATATATTTAAATAATTTGTACGATATTAGTAAGAGACAAATGTTGATTGTAATTCATTAATGATGGAAAGATGGGCATTGGTGTTTTCTTTACCTAGTGATACTGCATTACATCAAAATGAGCTTGCATTGTGTTTTATGTACTTATATTGGTTTCAATTTTATACACCCTAAAATTAAACTCCTAATTGAGGACTACTCCCTTTGTTTCTAAATAAGTGATATTTTTGCCTTTTTGATGTCTAACTTTGATGTTATATACCTCTCAAATCAATAGAAATAATAAAAATTACGATGTTAGATTTGTACTGTTGTGAGTTTACAGTAGCTTCATTTTATTAGTTTTGTCAAAAAATATTGAAAGAAATCTACTATCAATGTTCAGCCTCGAAAATCACTTATGTAGAAGTTGGGTGGGTGCTAAATAATTTCCCAACACTTATTCATCACCTACCAAGTATGTGCTGGTCAAGTGCTCAAGTCTGATATCTACTTATTAAATCCTTAATTGGCTAATGACTTTGAAAACGTTGTACAAACTTCATGATCGTCATTAGGTGAATTGGGTCCTTCAATTACTATAGATTTCTAGTTTGGTCCCAACTCTCTCATTCAAGTCCACTGATTTCAATTTTCAACCTTAGTTTGTAGTAGATTGTTACTTGTCAACTACCTTAGTTCTTGGTTGATCCGGTATTGCACATGTCATCTCCAGTTATCTAACCTTCTAGTATACTGTAAACCTATCCAATGAAAAAAAAAGTAGTATTAGATTTTTTCATCTGTTACACGTTTCTTAATTTGCATGCTGTCACAAGCACTCAGCTAGAAGAACCAGTACAGGAACTTCCACCTCTGAAAAAGAAAGATATTCCTAGGATTTACACTCGATTTCCGGAGCTAAATGATGAAGTAACACATAAGTTGATGGAAACAACCAAGGCTGCAAGAGGACTTGTGTTTAACTCTTGTGAAGAATTGAACTTGAGGGTTCTTCATTGACATTGGTTCGTCAACACTTTCAATAATACCAGTTTTTGCTGTAGGGCCATTTCAGAAACAGGTTAAGGCTTCTTTTAGTAGCTTATTGGTGGAGGACCGGAGTTGCATTCCTTGGTTTAGTGCTCAACCACCAAAGTCTGTGTTATATGTTAGCTTTGATAGCATAGCTGCTATTGATGAGACTCAACATCATGAAATTGCATGGGGGCTGGCCCATAGCAAGCAGCCGTTTTTATGGGTCATTAGACCTGGATTGGTCTGTGGATTAAATGGGCGAGCTCCATTACCAAATGGGTTCTTGGAGATAGTCATGGGCTGGAGCAGGATAGTTGGGTGGGCTCCACAAGAAGAAGTGTTGGCACATCCTGCTGTAGGTGGGTTTTGGACTCATTGTGGATGGAACTCGATTTGGAAAGCATATGCCAAGGAATGCCTATGATCTGCCTGCCTTTCTTCGGTGATCAGATGAATAATGCAAGGTATGTAACCGACGTTTGGAGGGTTGGATTGCGGTTTGAGAAAGGGTTAAAACGAGAAGATATAGAGAAGGGAATCAGAAGCCTAATGGTGGAGAAAGAAGGCAAAGAAATGACACAGAGGGTGGTAGTTTTACAAGAGAAAGCAAGTCTTTGCATTGAGAAAGGTGGATCATCTTACCAATCCTTGGAGAGATAAGTTGCTAATATTTTATCATTTTGAATGAGATTGATCATTACTCAAGAGTCAAGAGCTTTAGTTACACTTTTTTTCCTTTTAATTGAACATTGAACATCTTCTGAGCAAGTATAGCGACTAGTCTTTGTAATTGTATTGAAATACAGTAGTGTGGCAACTATAAGTAGAAGACTGGAAGTCATGCTCCTTAATCAAAAATACAAAAGCAAATTCCAGATTATTGGTATAGCTGTCTATATCTGTCTAGTATTTGTAGCCTAATCTGTTAGGCAAATAGGCTTTTCTGTTACACAACATGTTTGAGTGTTACCTTGTCCAAAAAAAATAAAAAAAAATGAAGATGATGGGCAGCAATTTTCCAAATAAAGGAAGTAACAACTCATATTTCTAATATCGTTACATCGATTGAAAGGCAGTAAAATGCTAATGGATTTCAACCTCAGATATGTGCTTATTTGTAATTTTGAAATAAAAACTCGTACCAATGTCCTGAATATAGGAAATGGAAGCGTCATCCTCCTAATAGCTGCTTTTTTACTCGTACCGTACAATACATTACAACTATAGATGTGACACTAAACAATAACGAGAAATTAGGAAGAAAAACATACTTTAATTGGAGATGATTAAGTATTACCAATATCATATGCAAATGACAAATGAGACTTTCCTCCAAAACTATTCCAAAATACAACAAACAATAACGAGAAATTATAGAGAAAAAAATTCTATAAAGAAATACAACAAACAATAGCATACAATTATACGAATGACAAGTGACTGAAATGAGACTTTTCTCCTAAACTGTTACAGAATATAACATTACTCATGCAACACTTTGATCTTTGCACTTTAAGTATTCAGTTGGTGGCTTTAATAAGATGATAGCAAACAACTTCATCATAATGTTGTTATAAATGTTACAATCTATATTTGCATTGTATCAACATTTTATAATTTAATTAACAATTAAATATATTAATGCTTAAAATTATGTATTGGCAAACACGTCCAATCAAGTGTTAACAGTGAGAGTATTTGCTAATGCCAACCAAATGGGGCGTTAGATGTTTAAGCCATTTACAAATCCGATAACAATTGCAATTTCACTACATAGAAGACCCAAACAGAATGTACCAGTCTACATGCTACAAGGCCAAAACGACAATAGGATTAAATAATCAAGGATAATATATTTATTCAACAAAAACTTGTCTTGTTGAAAGTTGTTGCAAGTTTCAATTATTGTACGCAAGCATAACCTGCATATTCTTTCATACCATGAACCAAGACAAACTTTGTTTAAAAATCAAAAAACAAATCAAGACTAACAAAAGTTGTTTAGAGCTTTAATTAGGCTGTCAAAGAATATCTGCAAGCAACAAGAAACAGCAAGAAGTACTTCAATGGAGAAGCAAGACAGCAAGCTGGGTTGCAGAGTAATACTGCTTCCCCATCCATATGTAGGCCACACAACTCCAATGTTCAATTTAGGATACGCGCTTCATTCTAAAGGATTTTCCATCAATATCATCCAAACTCGTCTCAACTCTTATGATCAAACTGCATTTCCTAACTTCACCTTCCACTACATGGAAGGAGGACAATGGAGTCTTGAAACTCTGGCTTCCTCATTCGATCCTTGGGAGGTAGTAACTTTACTGAATAAGAGCTTCAGCGCCTTTTCGAGTTTCCTTGACCCAGGTCTTGGAGGATGCTACTAAGGGCACAGAGCCAGTTGCTTGTCTGATATCAGACCCGATGTGGGATTTCGCAGGAACAGTTTCTGATGAATTCTACCTTCCAAGACTTGCTCTAAGAACTGGTGGCTTACTTACTTTTGTTCTGTATGAATCACTGTATGAATCCTGCCACTTCTACGGCAAAAAGGCTACTTCTCCCTCCAAGGTATGTCTATTTCCTACTTTCCTAGCTTGTCAACTTGAATAACTTCTCCATCCAAATCCAAAACAAAGTCAACCTGCATACAGGGAAAGACAAAGTGTCAGCAAAACCTAAGATCTGGTAGTTTTCAAACGAACCGGCTGTCATTGTATAACCATAACTCTCCAGAGCCTGGGTTTAGATGACGATGATTTTGTTCGCATCTCCATGATTCATGCAAATAGTTATCCATACACATACATGTACGAGCACACACAAAAGTTTATGTGATCGTTAATCAATTCTAATTAATATGAGGTGCTGCAAGCAAGAAAGGAAATACTGATGAGCATATATATATATATATATATTCTGTACACATGTATTTATGTTTTTCCTCATTCCTTTAACTGCCTCTATCCTTCAGAGAGTGAATAAGAAGCAGCTGCGTTGGAGTTTCCACCCCTCAAAGTGAAAGACCTACCATCAGATGCAAATCATGATACAATTGCTGCTGTGGTTAAAGAAGCCAAGAGTTATCATCTGGGATTCGTTTGTAATACATTCAAGGAGCTAGAAGGGTCTTTATGAGACCAATTTGGCAGAAGTGTTCCCGGTATTCCCGTCTTTCCAGTAGGCCCACTGCACATATACCCCTCAACTAGTATGGGTGGAAAACACAATCAAGACCATAGCTCCATCACCTGGCTAAACACACAAGCACCAAATTCTGTATTATATGTGTGTTTTGGGACTATTGCAGCTATAAGCAAGGATCAGTTTGAAGAGATAGCTTGGGGTCTTGCCAACAGCAAACAGCCGTTCTTGTGGGTGGTCCGACCCAGGATGATTAATGGCTCAGATACGGATGAAGACGTATTACCTGAAAATTTTCTCGAGGCTGTGAGTGGGAGAGGCTATATTGTGATCTGGGCACCACAGCTAGAGGTTTTGGCCCATCCAAGTGTTGGAGGATTTTGGACTCACTGTGGTTGGAATTCAACTATTGAGAGCATTTCCAAAGGAGTACCCATGATTTGCTTTCCATTTTTTGGGGATCAGAAGATGAATACTAGACATGTCAGTGATATCTTGAGGACCGGGTTGTATTTGGAGAAAGGGCTAGAGAGACAGGATATAGAGAGCAAAATCAGAAGACTGATGTTGGAAAAAGAAGGCAACGAGATGAGAGAAAGGATAGCAGCTTTGAAAGAGAAAGCACATAGTTGTCTCATGGAAGGAGGGTCTTCATGTGAAGCTTTGGATCAGTTAACTAATCACATTATATCATTTCGTGGTACTGAAAGACCTCGGATATGAACTCAAGTAATACCATAGACTCAATTGAGTTACAAAGTATTACTTTTACTCTACAAGGTGAAATAACAGAGACCTCTATCTTATTCAAACTCTCTTCTTTTTTCTTACGGAGTATTATTCTTGAATGTATTTAGACATTTATGGCTGTAACTTGGACTAAATTTTCTTCAGTTAGAAGTCTAAACTCGATTGTGATGCTGATAAAAAATCACCTCCCCTCTGTAATAAAAAAATTACATTTTTAGTCCCTTTCCTCTCTTCCCCTTCTGCTCTATTTTTCTCCACCATTGTTATCCAAACACACCATTAGACTTATGTTCAATAAGAAATAAGAGGAAAACTGATAGATTAGGGAAAGAGAGGGAACGAGAAAGGAAGGGAAGGGAAGAAATCGATTTGCATATTAATTCTCAATCATCTCAAAACTTTCAAGGTTTAATAATTAAAAAGGAGGAAACATCTATTTTCGCCCCTCTCCCTACCCTTCCCTTCCCCCCAAATCACATCCAAACAAGACTTAATCGGCCCCCTCACTCTTCGTCTCTTTCGGCAATTTAAGATTCCTAAATCCACCCCTCCCCCTCCCTCCCCCCCCCCCCCCATCTTACATTCAAAAAAAAAATAATCAGCCCCCTCAATCTTCGTCTTTTTTGGCATTTAAGAATTCCTCGTCCACATACTAAAAAAATTTACATAAAGCACATGTACAAAAGCTTTGAATCTCCAATGAATTATGGGACCAATGCATGGTATGGGGGAAGCTGAAAAAATATCAATGAAACAATTGTCCATGCATAATCACATGTTTTATTAGTGCTACAACGCATGCATGTACTCTTCTGCTTTTGGCTGCTTTCAATGCAATTTTTCCAACAGACAAAGTTCTAAGAAAACACTGACAGTGCTACCAAAGTTTTGAATTTTGCATCTTCTATAAATTCCGGACAAATTAGTAAGCATTTCTGGGCGTACCAAAACCTGTACTGCTATACAACATATCACAGAGAAACCTTTGACCAAATGTCCCAAAGATCAGCCAAAGTTCCCAAAGAGGGAGCGACACAGCAAAGCAAGTTAAGATTAGTCCTATTCCCTCTACCCTTGCAAGGCCATGTTACACCGATGTTCCATCTAGCCACTCTTCTCCACTCAAAAGGTTTCTCAATAACTATCACCCAAACAAAATATAAATCTCTTGATCCTACCCTATTCCCGCACTTCACCTTTCACCTCCTAGATGATGGCTTGCCTGATAATGCCACATTCGGACCAAATAATCACACCATGATCCTAGACACCCTAAACACAAACTGCTCAGAACCGTTCAGAAATTGCTTAACCCAGATTTTGAGCAAGGAGCCCATTGCTTGCCTTATTACAGATCCTATGTGGTCATTCCACAAAGTCTGTTGCCAGTAGCCTCAGCCTTCCCAGGATCGTGCTGAGGTGTGCTAGCATGTCTACCTTTTACGTTTATCATTCCCTGCCATTTCTACGAGAAAAGGGCTACTATCCTCTCCTAGGTACTAACCTCAACATCTTTGCTTTGGCAGTATTTGAATTAAAATTATAATCGTACATAATTATTTATCACTAACATATAACCCATACCAACGTAATCTTTATATAAACATTATACTAATCCATATTTGTTAAGGAATCATTAAGGATAATGATGAAAAAGTTTAACTTGTACTAATTGGATAGCTTGTCTAATTTTTGGGGACAATAGAGAAAGTGGTTATAACTTAAGGGGAAAAGTGTAAATTTGTTTAATACAAGGATCTTAAACAATTCTTGTACTGAATTTTCCTTCAACTTGTTGATAAACAGAAAAATACAGAGAGTTCCGGGTATCAGCACAAAAGATAGGCAAAAAATTGGTACAAATTTTACCTCATATGTGACATAAACATCATGGTTCAACATCACGGGCTAGAAAGAAGAATTCATCAATCATATACTCCATACCATGTACTCAAATGCAAAACAGGACACAAGCCAAGCTAAAATAACTATAGGCTTTCAAAATAATCATCAAAGAAACAAAAAATGGCCCTAAGCACCTATCTAACACGTGTCAACACTATAATATGTTTATCAAAGCAACAACTCGGGGCAACACCTTGGCCACACTTGTAAGTGTATTTTACTAAATGTTTTAAAACTATTTCTCACGGGCCCACACTAGTACATGTATTATTATTTGATGTCTCAAGATTTAACATGTCATTAACAGGCCTCATACTCACTATTATTTGTAGTTTTGAATTTCATTGCATTAACTAGCAAATTCTAAATTTCTATTCTTTATGGCATTTCCTTCCTTTCAAATTTTGACCACTCATCTAGGTCTATCTCTCACACAAACATATGTTTCAGAGACTAAATCTGATGAGCCAGTACCAGAGCTTCCACCACTCAAAGTCAAAGACCTACCTCCAGAAGCAAAACATAACCTCTTGGTTGATATAATTACAGGAATGGAGAATTCACAGGGTATCATCTGCAACACTTTTGAGGAACTTGAATATTTTTATATAACAAGAGTACACCAAGTCCTTCCCATCCCCATCTTTGCACTAGGTCCAATACACAAAAACTCACCAAGTTTTCAGGCTAGCATATGGACGCAAGATCATACATCCATTTCATGGCTAGATACACAAGCCCCCAAGTCAGTGCTCTATGTTAGTTTTGGAAGCATGGTACAAGTGAGCAAAGCTGATTTTGTAGAGATAGCCTGCGGATTAGCCAACAGCAAGCAGCCGTTCCTATGGGTAGTTCGTCATGGCTCGATTGAAGGATCAGATGAAATTGATCCACTCCCCTTGCCAGAGGGTTACTCAGACACAATAGGTCAAAGGGGGAATATTGTTAACTGGGCACCTCAACAAGAAGTATTAGCCCACCCTGCAGTAGGAGGTTTCTGGACTCATTGTGGATGGAACTCAATTATGGAGTGTATTAGTGAAGGTGTACCAATGCTTTGCCTACCTTTCTTTGCTGATCAGAATATAAACACGAGGCACATAAGCGACCATTGGAGGATCGGAATGGAGCTGGACAAGAGGGTGAAAAGAGGTGAAATAGAGAGAGCAATCAGAAAACTGATGGTGGAAGAAGAAGGTGAAACAATGAGAAATAGAATCACAGCTCTGAAAGAAAAAGCAACTCTTTCTGTCATGGAAGGTGGCTCCTCATACAAATCCTTGGAGAATCTCACTAATTATCTATTGTCATTCTAATCAATGTATCCATTGTATTAGATCGCACGTAAGTGTGCATCATGCTCTGAAGAAAATAAACAGTGTCAATGTTAAAAGAAGGAGCATACTAGCATGTGGAAGAAGTTTATGAAAGACTCTTTAAATATATACAGTATCATAGATTTGCAACTACCAAATATAGAACATTTAGTATCTTCTAACATAAATTTTTGAGAAAGTTACCTTAAGACTATTTCATCTTCACCTTATTATTTAAGGTCTTTCGATTTGAAAATTTTAAGGTCTAGTTTGAATTATTATCTTTATAATTTGATTTGGTTTGATATAATTTGATTTAACAATGATAAGTAAAATGTAAAAATAATAAGTGAATAGTTATGTATGTTGGCAGGCTAAAAGACTAGGTTAGAGCGAGGGAAAGCTCTAACAATTGTGGAAAGGTCCAATTGTAATAGGTTGTAACTAGGAGTTTTGGTCTATTATAGTGAAAAAAAATTTAGGAAAATACCTAGTGAGTTGATGTTTTACTTCCCTGGAAGGTTTTCTCGTAAAATTTGTTGTCTTCTCTTTAAGTTGCTATGTACTTTTGCTTTAGTTCCGCGATAATTGGCCTATAAAGAACTTTCTACAATCCACCCCCCCTCTTTCATCTCACATATCAAAGGCTATTATACACTGGTCCAAATCCAAACGAGGGCAAGAGGCTGAAATCGTCTATTTTGAGAGACTATAGACCAGACTTGTTCTAATACCTAGCAAAAAATCCATGCTTGATCCGGTTATGGACCGGGTTTGAGATTTCAAACTTCTTTAACAAAAAAAAAAAAAAAAAAAAAAAAAAAAAAAAAAAAAAAAAACATTTTTTTTTATCCACAAAAAAAGATAGAATCATTTCATAATATCTTAATCACTATACAAAGGTCAATTTTGAATAAACCATATCGTTCAATATATATTGACTAAAAAGAAATAAAAATACATATACAAATTAAGTTTTTAACATAAATCTTCACTAAAGTTTTTATTCTTTAAAGGATCACCAAATCAACATCAAGTATTGTAAAATTAAAAATATTTGAAGCGAGTAAAGAGAGAGAAAATAAAAGGCTGTATCAAAAAAGACATAAAACTACTAAACAATCAAGGGGATGAAGAGATAATTGGAAAAATAAAATGTCAAACAGAAGTAATCCTTTTTGAAACACGTGATAAGGAAAAGAAATAGGTGGTATTGCACTATTGCATGAGTTTTTCAAGTTTTCAACACATTCCAAAACCAAAATAAGGCTAAGTAGATGACAGCAAAAAAAATGACAAGTTCATCATCCACTAAATGCAAAAAATGACAAAAAACAATACAAACCGACTCAACATAATATTTCACACATCTAACTCAAAAGAAAAGCAAAAGGCTAAAAAAATCAATCATAAGCTCCAATGGAAGGGATAATGAAGCAGAGCAAGCTGGGCCGTAGATTACTATTGTTTCCTGCACCATTTCCCGGTCATCTGAATCCTATGATACATCTAGCAACCCTCCTACACTCCAAAGGCTTTTCCATCACCATTATCCAAACTCCTTATAATCCTATAAATCCTACTTATTTCCCACACTTCACCTTCCGCTCCTTTTACAACAGCTTGCTTGAGTCATATTCTAAGTTCCCTCCGTCTAATGCTTTCACAGTCTTATCTGCCATGGGCAATTGCTCGGAACCATTCCAGGATTGCTTGTCTCAAATTTTACGAGAGGCTAGTGCTGCTGCAGACAAAGAGCCTATTGCTGCCTTAATAACAGATCCTGTGTGGAAATTTGCTGTGTCTGTTGCTGCTAGCTTTAACCTTCCTAGGATGGTGCTGAGGACTGGTAGCATCTCGGCTTTACTCGTTTACAGTTCCCTCCCTTGCTTACGAGAAAAAGGCTATTTCCCTCCCCAAGGTAACTTCAAAACCTGATTTCTTTTTCCTAAGCTATTGTCTAGCCAGAAAGACAAACTTGGTGGGATTTATCTAGGAAAGACGGTAAAAAGAGCATTTTGCCACATGCCTGAATTTACACTCAGTTTATTGATGTACTCCAAAAGGTTAACACTTGATGTACACACAAAATATGTTGTACAATCAAAGGCTGCGCGTGCGTGTTACCTGCCCCTACACATTTCACACGTCGTGTATATGGCTACATGGAGACGCCTGAGGCATGTGTACTGCACGCGCCACCCTTGTGACATTACACACTTTATTATGGTGTTACTTTATATACTGATATAGACCAAAGTCCCTGAAGATATATGTATAATAGCACACACACACACACAAAATGTCTTGTACAGAATCACTACTAACTCCATATTTGAATAATTTCTTAAGAGTCATAGAGTCAGTGTTCAGCACTTCAGCAGCAAATGAGTAGTAAGCAGATGATGTCCTGATTTTGAATACAAATGTTATGTCTACATAAATGCAGGACGCAATTGCAGAAAACCCAAACTCCCAAAAGGATTTGTGCAATTAAAATCAACGCAAATCAAAAACATGAATCAAAAGTGTTAAGAAAGACAACCTTCTAATAGTAGTTTATAATTGCAGATATAAGATATTAGCATAGCTGCTTTACACCCCATTAAGATACTGTATGTGTTGAAGTTGTTTTACACCTTTACTTGAGGTTATTAAACTTCGGGTCTTTATATTTCTGCAAAAATCCTTGACCCCTCTCTTTTTCTCTCCCGCATTTCAGATCATAAACTAAACGAACCACTGCCAGAGTTTGCTCCTTTGAAAGTCAGGGACCTTCCTGAAGAATGGCTACATGAAATACTGGAAGCTCTAGTCCAAGAAACCAAGATTTCCCAAGGTGTTATAGGCAATACCTTTGAGGAACTGGAAGATTCTTTGATAGCTCGAGTTCACCAAATCCTTTCCATTCCCATCTTTCCTATAGGCCCCTTACACAAACACTCACCAACTTATGATACCAACTATTGGGCACAAGACCAAACTTCCATTGGTTGGCTGAATAAGCATGCACCCAAGTCTGTACTGTATATGAGTTTTGGGAGTGTTGCAGCTATGAGTAAGCTGAATTTCTTGAGCTAGCCTGGGGACTGCTCAACAGCATGGTGCCTTTCCTATGGGTGGTCCGCCCCGATTTATCCAAGGTTCAGAAGCCAACAATGACTCATTGCCAGAAGGCTACCTTGAAATGGTAGGTGAGAGAGGGCATGTTGTCAAATGGGCACCTCAATTAGAGGTTTTATCCCACCCATCTGTTGGAGGGTTTTGGACTCACAATGGATGGAACTCAACTTTGGAGAGTATTTGTGAAGGAGTACCAATGCTTTGCCAGCCTATCTTAAGTGACCAGAATATGAACGCGAGGCATGTTAGTGATGGTTGGAGGATAGGATTGAAGTTGGAAAAGGGGGTAAATAGAGAAGAAATAGCAAGGTCAATAAGAAAATTAATGCTGGAAGAAGGGGAAGAGATGAGGAGCAGAATCACAGCTTTAAAGGCAACTCTTTGTGTCAACGAAGGCGGTTCTTCATATATATCTTTAGAGAGGCTTACCAGCTATCTGCTATCATTTTGATTCACTTATTCATCATCATTGAATATTGTTATTACTAAATAAACTGAGAAGAGTTTTTCTTTTAATCTTTTGTAACCCAAAATTTGACATAATAAGTGATCAAAAGACCAATGGAGCAGTTGCTCCAAAGATCCCGTGTTGTATGAAATTCAGCAATGCACGATGCTCAACACGGACATGCATGACACCTTCTTGATATGGTTGTTTTCCAATGGAATTCAGATAGTCATAGTTAAAAGGCAATATGATACATACCTTATACAACACAAAAAAGACAAGGCTATCAAGGTTTCACTTTTCCCTGATTTGGCCCTGCTAAAAAAGAAAGGCATGATCCTATATAAAACTCATTACAGAAGAGAAGAGAAGCCTTTAACTAATGTCTTAATATCAAACAAATTTCTGAGAGAGAGAACTCCAGAGAAGCAGCGAAGTAAGATGAGGGTAAGGGTGCTCCTATTCACACTTTTATTTCAAGGTCATATTACACCAATGTTCCACCAAGCAACTATTCTCCACTCAAAACGCTTCTCAACCACCGTCATCCAAACAAGCTACAAATCTCGACACTATCCATTTCCCATGTTTCTCTTTTCACTTTCTAAATGATGGCTCCCTGATAATGTCATATCTGCACCAAGAAAGCAGTCTTAACTGCCCTTAACACAAACTACATAGAACCACTGCTTGTCCTAGATTTTGAGCAAGGGTGTGGTCTCCCACCAGGAGCTCATCACTGGCCTCATCGGACACTATGTGGTCGTTGGCTAGTTCTGTTGCCGGAAGCCTAAGCCTTCCAAGGATCGTGTTGAGATGTGCTAGCATGTATACCTTTTATGTTTATTATTCCGTACTAACTCTCCGCGAACAGGGTTACTATCCTCTCCTAGGTACTAATTTCAACATCTTTGCTTCTCCGAAATTGCTTAGAAGACTCTAAATCAACTCTAGCATCCTAAATTTCTTCTATCAATTTGAAACTAAGTATAATAATACAGAGTGGATTTCAGTAATCAGCACAAAATATGATTTAACCCTTAAGGTAAACATTGCGTGTGACTCAGACATCAATGTTTGACACACCAAGTCTCTACTTTAACGTTTAACCGCAATATCTATAAATCACAAAATCTAGACAGAATCAATCATATAACGACTAGACTCCCTCCTTCTACTTCTATGAACCCGAGAGCATGATGCGCATCATAATGAAATCACATTTTAAAATCAATTTTTTTATAATTTGACGATAATTAGATACTCATAAATTAGTAAGCATAACAAAACATAATGTAATTACAGGATGAATAACAGCTAAAAATTAATGTTCTGCATGCCCACTTTTAGAGAGGCAAATCCAATTATCAATCAAATAAACATTAAGAGGGTGAATTTTAAGCAAACATAAACAATGAATTTAAGAATTAAACCAAAATTTGAGTGGAAATGAAACTAACCAAAACAATCCATGAAAGCCTTAACATAATTATCCTCCAGAAGTCTCGTTCCGCCCAATAAGAGCACCACCACCGCGCCACCGGGGGGAGGAGGCGGCGTCGTTTCGAAGAAGAAGGATGTGGGTTGGATCGGCAGCGTTCAGAGCACCACCATTACCGGAGGAATGCCGCGTTTTAAGAAAATTCACCGAGTGCCATTGTGTCATTATTGACTGACAACCGTTAGTTGACTGTTAGTGGACCCCATCACTTGTCACATGTCACTTTCTGATTGATTCGTTTTTTAAAATAAAAATTCAATAAAAAAATTTTCAAAAAATCCAAAAACAAACCAAAAATATTAAAAAAATTAATTAAAAAAAAAACCTCAAACCCCAGCCACCAGCCCACCTGCACCGGCGTTCCGGCGGCCGCCAGCCCCCCTCCCTTTCCCCTCCTCTTCCCCCGTCGCGACCCACCCACCATTAAACCCCAAAAACCAAAACTCCATTAAAGATTCCCCCACTTCCCAAAACCCGATCGAAAACCCCAAACCCAACCAATTGGTGGTCGAAGGGGGTACGAGGAAAGGGAGGGGAAGGAGGCTGCCGGATTATCTACTTTGTACTATACTCCATACTCGTATTTCCTTTTTTTTTTTGGAAATACTCCGTATTATCTAAGACATTATACACCGTATTATGTATTTATTTTTTATGTAATACGAGTGCAGTAGAAAGATATGATCATTACTATGAGGTTGGAGGTTCAATCCTATCAAATACCATATGATAGTTTCCTTATGAGTTTTTTTGAGTTTGACCACAAGAAATAGGGAGATTTTTAAAAAAAAAAAAAAAAAAAAAAATAGGAAATTTTTTTTTTTCTTTTTTTTTTTTTCAGTTGACGTATTTTGACTTTAACACTATTCACACACTTCCCTTTGACCGCTTTTGTGATTTATACATCACATCTTATCATATCACTAATAAATAAAACTGGTCTCGCAGTCAGGCCACGAGACATTGACACTTGGCATTCCAGTTTTTCGCCAAGTGTCAAGCCACGTAAGCGACAAATAGATATTATTTGTGATTAGATTAGACGTCACGTTAGATTAAATTGGATAGATTTGTTTAGGATAAAAAAGTATACATAAAATAATTTATAATTCTTTTGAAAAAAAATTATTTTTTTATTGACAATAAAATTTTACTCCTATATGAATAACCACATATTATAATTAATATGAATATCCAATTAACAATAGAATTTTACTCCTATATGAATAACCACGTAATTATAATTATAAATATGGTCATGTATCATTTATTGTTTTAGTCTACCATAAATTTACCGTTAAAGCTTTTGAATCGGGTATTCTTCATATTCGATTGTAATAGTTTTGTGTATGTTTGTGATTTTGTTAATAAAATTAAAGAAGTTAGAGATTCATAATCTCAGCCCAAAATCACTCTTCTTTTTTTGCAACCTCAACTCTCTTTCATACAGAGTACTAGTACTACCCATAATTAGCAACAGTAGCACTTTTTCATTCATCATCAATGCTCAATTAAAACCCAAAAAAAAGCAGTGAAATCCCCAAATTGAAGCTCCATTAACGGCGTCCACACCTTCTCCTTCCTCCACACTTTCTCTCTCCTCAACGCAACTCCTTTTTCAACCCTAGAACCACCCTCTTCATCGAGGGTTGCTTTTTTCCGACCACAATTGGTGGCCGAAGACAACGCGCCATGATGAACTACCACTAGCGAACTTAAATCGCACAACGCATCACCAACCACCGTCCATCGCAAATTGCACTTCGTCATCTTCGTTTTGAGGGGTTTCGATTCAATCAGAAAATGCATCATTTTCTTTGACTTGGTTGGCTGATTCAAGCAAAATGATCTTTGTTCTGTGAATTGTGAGCCCTAAAATCCCAATTTTCTTCGACAATTAAAATGAATGGGTAATGTGTTAGAAGGGGAGGGTTGCCGCACAAACTATTGGGTGCGGACTGCCGCACCCAATAGTTTATGTAATTGCTTATCCAACGCCCCGGGGGCGTTCGTTAACAAGATCCTTCCTTTCAAATGTTTTGCAAGTTCATAATTGTTTCAGCTAGGCGCACTTTTTGCTTTGAAGAATTTAATGAATTGTAATAGATAGCGGGTCTCATACATAAACTTTTGAACAGGTTTATCTATTGTGATAGTAATAGATTTATCTGTATATTGTGATAGTACTATTAAGTGAACAAACTACTACGAGACATGTCGCCTAAATTTTAAAAAAGGCTCAAAAATTATTTCCTTCGTTTCATAATAATTACAACATTTTGACTGACACACATACCAATGTACAACTTTGACCATTAATATTTGTAATTATATATCAATACTAATATTTTAAAACAGGAAGTTGGAAGGGCACTTGTCCTCTTCCTGTTTTTAAATATTTTTTTTTGTTTTTCCTTTTTTTTTAACAAAAAGTTCAATCAAACGTTGTTTCTATCCTCTTTTTCCTTCCATCCCAATTCCTAAACGATGTATCTGTTAGGTTTCAAAAAAAAAAAAAAACCTGATGTATATGTTCTTATCAGTTTGTAATTCCCAAACGACGCTATTATCCTCCAATTCCTCCATTAAATATTCATAGATGAATTGATTACAAATTATTCACTGCTACTTTATCCATCATCTTTTTCTCTCCTCACAATTTATCTGATTATATTTTTCAAGGTTAGTTATAATTTTCCTAACTCTTAATTTTTCATATTTTTAATCAAATTCCTTTTCTAATAATTGTGTTGATTGATGGTGTTGAGGCGACAATTCTTCAATTTGTTGATTACGATGTTGTTTTTGGCTGCAGGGACATGATAAATGGATTTAATTGATTGAATGTTGATGGTGTTGAGGCGACAATTCTTCAATTAATTGGTAATGAATTTGTTTTTTTTTTCCCTAATTTAGTTTTAGCAATGAATTTAATTTGTATTCCCTCTTTACTACCCTTAATTAAATTTGGGTTAAAATACTACTATCTCTCTTGCCTTTTCTCTTTCCCGACTTGGAGTTTAATCAATTATTTTATTTTTCAAGGTGTTTCATTAATTTGATTTAACTTTTGTTTTTTTTTTAAACTTAACAGAAATTTGAGAACATTTTGTCTCAGATGTTTTGTTTTTTCAATTTCTATATGATTAGTCGAATTGTTAGAAACTGCATATGTTTTGTGTTTTTTTCTTAAAAAAACATGTTTCATATGTGTTAAGGTTGAATTTATTCGATTCTATGTTTTTTTTTTAAAATCTTTACAGTATTAAAAGGATTGAACATATATGGTTAGTTAAAGTTTATAAGGTTTGGATGTTATTCCAAATTTATTTTCCTTTACGGATGATGGAAAGTTTTAGTTCATTTGATATCTTCCATAATTTTCTAAGCTAGATGCATGAATAATGTTGCTTGTTCCCTTGATTTTATTCTCTAATTTTAACTTCTCTTTTTTTTTTTTTTTTAATAAAGAGTAATATTATTATTTGATGGGTTTATTTTTTAAGAAATTCATTGATGAATACCATTATTGTAATTATTTTTTTAAGAAATATCATAATGAATTCCTCTGTATAATCCTTTCTTTTGTTGACAAATGAAAATCAGATTCAATTGTATCCATAATATAGTTTCATTTTATTTTTGGATCATTAGAAGGTGAGGTAGGCATGGTTATTCTCCGGAATTTAGTGATTCTAAATGTGCTATTTTGAAGTAATAATAGTTTACTTCTCTAAAATTTATATTTTACAAAATTCAGGGTGAAAAATTGGTAGGTTGATTTGGTTTACTTCTCTAAGTATTGTTTATTTATTTATTTGTTAATTGTGATTTTGTGTGTTTTGTAGGTGAAATTCTTTATTAAAAAACTGAACAATATATTGGATGGTAGCTACATCAATTTTGTGAGAAGAAATTGTAATAATTTAAGATTTTTTAGATGATTAGTGATGTACAAATGATTGTATATTCCTTTGCATTTTCAATAGTGTTAAATAATGAGTGCTAAAATCAAAATTGAAGTATTAGTGTTTAATTATGTTTAATGATGTTTTTGGATGCATAAACAAAAATATAAATTGTTCTTGGCAATCAATAAACATGCATATTTATTATGATAATACAACTTTTTTTTAAAGAAGATATAATACAACTTTTTAATAAGAATAATGAATTAAATTTTAAGTAGTATTTTCTACAATGCAATTTATATAAACATATAATTTGATTTGAATTAAACGTAGTGCAATCCAAGTATACAATACAAAAAATCTTTAATCAAATTATTCAAAAATATTTAACTAGCAAGTTTGATTCGTGCATGCACAGGCTAAATACTAGTTAGTATTAAAAAAAGGTATAAAAGGTTAATATTACGAAAATGTACTAGTCCATAAATATTTTACATGACAACATAATGTTTTTTTATATATTGATAAAAGTATAGTCGAGGTAAGTATATAAATACCGAGTAGTGCAAAATTCAAAATATTACAATTATTCCAGAGTATGAAACGGAGGGAGTAATAGTGTGATACGTAGACAAAAAAAAATGTTTATACAATGAAGGCGGCAAATAGAAATACTTTTCGATTTACGGGTACTAGAGTATATTCGTGCTAACACACGGGATATACATACGATTATATGTAGTATGTATATCTAGAAAAAATAGTAGAAGTGGAAGCTATTGAGATGTGGAAGTTTTTAAAGGTTATTGGAAAAAAAAAAACAAACAAAAATTGCTTAGATTTTGAGAATTGGGGGTTTGGAGTGTTGTGGTTGGATGTTGAAAAACAACTCTTAAATTATATACGAAGTATAATATTTCTCTATAAAAAAAGGGGAAAATTTATCAAATAGCCCTAAGCTAGCTAGCACTCTCTACCTCATCTATCTTCCAGTTCCTGCGAGTTTGATATCCTGCCTTCAAAGAAGACGACATATTTGCAATAACTCATTCATCAATCCTCCGCTCCTTGTTCCGGCGATAATTTCGATCTCCTCTTAGAGATTAATAGGTATGAATTCCCTCTCGTTGTTTTTCTTTACTAATTGTTCGGTTTGATTAGATTTTGAAAAATATAAATCTTTTGTTTTTTATTGCGGATTATTTCGGAATTTTAAGCTTTAATTAATAAATATTGCATGTCTCGGTTCACTGAGTTTCTTTTATTTCACTTGATTGCATCAATTTGATTTGGGCGGTCATATTTCTGGATTTTAGGGTTTATGTATCTTGGGTTTCTTTTATTTTTTTGCATTGAAGTTGTTTCTTTGGACATGTTACTTGCCATCGTTTTTATTTTATTTTATTTTCTGGTTAATGTTTGTCTTCCGGATTTTCACTCAATTTCTTAGGAATATGGTTTCTTGCATAGCCATTTCTAATATTTTGGTGACCCGGGGCAAAATGATAATACTTTTGTTGAATAAATTATTTGTTTTTATAATTATAAATATTTATGTAATTTGTTAATTACTTCATCCTTTATTTTAATTGCATTATTTACACTTTTCCACTATTCACTCACCTCTTTTGAAACATAAACTCCGCATCTTCTATCAAGCGCCAACTAATATGAAGAAAAAATATGCAATAGATTTTGAATGTTTTTTATTATTATTATTTTTTTTTTTTAAATGCAAGAATTTCAATGCTTTTGTAATCAATAATTTATGTTACTTTGCCTATATCTAGCATTAGACATTGTATTGTGATTAGTGTTGCTCTACATTGCATAAAT